ATTAATCACAGTAGCAAACTGATTTGGGGGCTATCTTTACTTCCTGTCACGATCTTTTTGATTCTAGGTTCTGGCATCTTGCATATTACTGATTTTTTTTAGCTTTCTGTCCACTGTCAATATGATAAACAAACATGCTTTTTAAATCTTCATCCAAGTCACTGATAAAAATGTTGGTAGGCAAGGACCCTCTTAATACCAGAGACTTCCCTCCATTTTGGCAATGATTCATGAATCAAAACAATACAGTTGTTCAACCAGGTCCAAAACCATATAATTTTATTATAACCCAGCCTCCATTTCTTCATTATATCCATAGAAATATCAAGAGATAATTTAACTCAAATACTTCCTACTATGTATATGGCATTCTCATGATCTACCTGTTTAATCTTATATGAAAAATTCTAGACCAACTTCCTAGAATTCAATTGTGCCCCGACTGCCACGTGATCCTTTCTCCCTCCCCAAAAATGTTAAGATGTAATTAATTGTAAAGATGTAATTTGATTGATGTATAAGGCTAGAAGGTATTTGGTACAATGTCAAGAATTAAGCCAAAATGAGTGTGTTTGTATGGTTTAAAAAAAATTTCTCCCATCTTTCTATTCTCATATTTTGCCAAGTAGGTTCTAATAAAACATATGCTTGGTAGAGGTTGACAAGAATTACTCTGTATTTGAATAACAGACAAGAGTATCAAGATATTCAAAGACATGTAAGGTAAATTATCAGTTTCTATGAAAATATTCCCCAAATTAAGAAAACAGAGAAAGTGATGGCTGCCATGTAGAAGACAGAACATAATTGTTTTGGCAGCATGCAACTAATGGTGAAGGCATCATCTGATTTCATTCAGCTCATTGAGTGATGATGTCCACATCCATGCCAGCAGCATTCTAAGTCCTATCTGCATTGCCAACTTTTTTCTGATCAGGGTGATGTTTCAATTGTACAATTATATTTAGGTCGGAAGCCATCAGCCAGCCATTGTTGTCTGCAGGGTTTCTCTATCTTTCCCTTCCAGATCTCTGTTTCTCTCAGTTTGGGGACTCTAAATCCCTTTAAATGAACTCATGATGTCAGATAGCTTCATGTGCAGCTTGAAGTCAACAAGATGCAAATGACACAGGCTTAATAACAAAGAACATCCTTTGTGGAAGAGGTTGGAAACTGAACTGGATGACAATGCTTGCTTTCTCCTCCATGGAAGTAGAGAGTGCATATATTCTGGAAACTCTATTTCTGGCCTTCTTTAACAATACACTATCGTAGGCCTCCTAGCTCAACTCAACAAACATTAATGTTTACTGGCATTAATGGTCTACTGGCCATTGGCTGAGAGTTCCCTCTTCTTTTCTCTTCTCACATCATTCAGATACCTTCACGGGCTACCTCCTCCTTCACCCTGTCTCATGTGAATAGGTGTCCCTTCTCTTTGCCAAGGTAAACCCCTCTACATGAACAAATGACCCCGTTCCATCCCATCTTGTCCAGCAGATTACCCCCCTTTTCTTCCCACACTCATTAATCTTTGATCTCTCCCTATCTAGCAGGCTAATCACCTCCCCAATGTCATTGTTCCTCTTCTAAAAGACAAACAACAATCCCTACTATTTATAAACATGCCCCTATCTTCCCTATTGTCAAAAAACCCTGACTTGTTCCATCTATCCCAGCTCCTATCATCTTACATCTCTTTTCTCTGTTGTGGCTAAAGTGCAAATCTGACAGTGTCACACCCCTTATTCAGTAAACTCCAACAGCTCCCATTGCCTCCAGAATCAAATATAGAATCTTCAATTGGGTTTCTAAAGCCCTTCCTACCTTTGTAGTCTTTTTACACTTTACTCACTGCCCACATACTCTCTGATCTAGTGACACCAGCCACCTTGCCTTTTCTTGCACATGTTACGCCTTCTCCTCTGTGATCATTTTCCACCAACTGACTCTCCTGCCAGGAAAGCTGTCTCTCCTCATTTCTCCCTTCTGGATTCCCCAGTTTCCTTCAAGTCTCAGCTGAAATTCACTTCCTGCAAGAAGCTTTTCTTGCCTTAATGCCTTCCCTTTGTCAACTGCACAAAGCCCACCCCTCAAAATGCAGAGGAGCCCAAATTGAGTTGAAAGCAGAAAAGTTTTATTAGGAGGAAAATCAGATGCTAGTGCAGAGGCACCCCAGTACAAGTACAAGGGAATCCATAGCCCAGGAGAGGCTCCAACCCTCTAATCTTCAGATAAGACTGAAGCCTAGGAAGGTGAAGAAGTAACTAACCCAGGGTCACATGGATGGGGTGTTTGGGTGCCTGTACTCGGACTCCAATTCCAAGATCATATTTCTCCCTAGCCTCAAACTATACCTGACAGTTTTCTCCACAGCCCAAAGACCCTATCTCTGGCAACAACTCAGGAGCGGGCCCATGAGGCAAACTATCTCACTATCTGTCCCTGTTACAAGAACAAGTTGACCTCTGTAGAATTGCCCTTGTATGAAGGAGACGATCTTGTATCAACAAAATTCTCGTGTACTGATTCCCATAGTCATCACGAACAATCCAGAGGTCAAGTTATAGACATCCACTCCCAAAGCTAACTTGTCACAGACATAGCAGACTAAAAATACACCCCTTAGAAACTCCCTTCCCCAGTTTCCTGTAGTAAATAAGGCCTGTGACTAAGGTAGTATGTAATTACTTAATTGGTATATTGGCACATAATCCACTACTTTTTCTATGTAAGCTAAAGCTTACATCATTCCAGTTAGGTTGCAGAATACCTTAAGAAGCTCTTCTTGGCATATGAGCGCTATGATAATCTTTGTGCCACCTGACTGGAAGACTGCTTGAGTCTGTGAATTCTTTTCAGACACCTCCACCCTGTCCCTGGGTATTTTGGGGTCCCTTCACCCCTAAATCACATCAACATGAGTACTGAGTAAGAAATAGAGCTGTAATCTGAGACATGGTCCTCTAACTCCGGACCCAGAAACACACCTTTCCACCAAATCATACTGCTTATCTTTAAAACACATACCATATTCTCATTTTCAGTTTATGAGTTAAAAAAAAAAGTAGAGAATACACAATACGGTACTTATATCAGGGGATCTTCTGGCAGACAGTGCAAAAGGCAGCAGGACACAGAAAATCAGTAAAAGGGTGTCTGTGATCATTGGAGGGTAAAGGTCTGTGAAAACAGCAAGCAATAGGGGACAATGATGATAGATCATGTGTGTATGTGTGCTTTAAGCTTTCTTCACCACAACCTTGGGAGGCAGAGTCACATTTCTGAAGCTCCTACTAAGTGCCACACACCATGTTAAGCGATGGGGATACAAAGAAAGGGATGGACCCCTGCCTCCTGGAACCCACGATCTGTCATCATTGCTGTTCAGTAGTTTTGAGTCACGTCGGACTCTTTGTGACCTCATTTGGGGTTTTGGCAAAGATGCTGGAGTGGTTTGCCATTTCCTTCTCCGGCTCATTTTACAGATGAAGAAACTGAAGCCAACAAGGACTCCACCCAACTGGGAGACCTAATATCTGTTTAAAGCATAAACAGAATCTAGTTTGAGTGAGCCTTTACCTAGTGGAAGAACCCCCTGTTGTTGATCCCCTCCCTTAGAGTTTAGGGCAACCTAGCTCATGAAGGAGAAAATTAGCCACAGAAGTCCAATGGAAATGGTTTCTCCCGCCCCAGTGCTGAGTCTCATGATAAAGCCATTTTCTCAGCAGGAGGAGCTGAAGACTTTTAACCCACTTCCTCATTAAATGTCCACAAAATTGGGTTGATTTGCACTTGTCAGGGGATTTCCTTTCAGAAGGGATTTAAGGCAAGGTGTCTTTGGTTTAAGGTGTCTTTGGTTACTGAGAGAAATCACTGGCCAACAACTTATTGATTGCCAGCTAACCTAATTAATAAATTGCCTATTAATTACCTAATCACTCTCTCAAGGTTTTCATTTGACACACCTCATCTGAAAAAATGGGAATGATAATTCTCATTGGGTTAATGATGGTTTCTCAGGTCCCTAACTTTCTATATGCATTAAAGATGTTTCCTTTTATGTTCTTCCCTCTTCTTGAGGCAGTATGGTGAACTGATAATATGCTAGAAAGAACCTGGGACTTAGAGGCAGGACAGTTGGGTGCAAGTTCCAGTTCTGAGACTCATCCTATCTGGGTAAGGAACACAGGCAAGGTCATTTAAGCTTCCTGAACCAGCTTCCTCATTTTTAAATTAAAAAAAAAAATAAAAAAGCATTCACTACTCACAAAGTTTGAGAGAAAAGTGCTGTGTAATTCTTAAGCACAGTAGAGACGTCATTACTATAAGGCAGACCTGGCAGCTTTAATGTTTTGATGGGGAAAAGGAACATAGGACTAGGAAATGATTCAATTTGTAGGTAAAAGCCCGACAATAATAAGGAACTGTCTCTACACATTGACTTTCTGGGCTATGGACAATTTTCCACTTGCCATGGCTCACTAACAGTAATAACAAGCCCACGTTTATATAACACAACAATTTTACAAATATTTTACACATATTATTTCATTGGATCCTCACAACAACAACGGGAAGTAGGTTGCTGTTATTTCTCCATTTCACAGATGAGGAAACTGAGGCAGCAGCAGTTAAGTAACTTGCCCAGGGTCACATAGCTAGTAATTATCTGGGTCTGCATTTGAACGTGAGCTCAGCTTTTCAGGTTTACAAGGGTCGTTATGCTCGTTTTACAATTCAGCATGCAGAGGCACAAACAGCACACGCTCTCTCTTCTTGAGGCGGGGAAGTCATTGTCTTTAGTTAGTGCGGCTGCCCAATCAGCGCCATCGCGGCGCGCAGGCGCCCCGCGGCTGTGCGGAGGTCACGTGAAGGGTAAACATGGCGGCGCCCAGAGCCAGACCGCTCACGTTGTGCTGAGTGTGAGCTGCTGTGGAGGCCGTTCCGCGACTTCTTCGCTACCGAATCGGAGCACCAGGTATCCGCGCGCCCTGGGCGAGGGAGGTGGCGCCGTTGTCCTGCCCCGGCCTCCGTCTGCCCTCAGATTTGGCCGCCTTCGTCCTTGCGGGCCCGGCCTACCTTACAGCACTGAGCTCCTGGAGAGCCCGAGGCAGGTCAGAGTCCGAGGAAAAATGCTGCTGTCTGGGAGTCTGGCCTCAGGCTGCCCCGGCTTTTCTCGGGACTGGTTCTCCCTTCCCTTCTTCCCTAGACGGAAGCAAGGCTTCCCCAGAGGTTTTTAATACAACCTACGATCAGCTTTCTTCTCCCCTTCCCCTTCTCTGAAATGTTTTCCTTTTTTCAAAGTCGTCCTCGGGGGTCATCTTCCCCCAAGCCTCCCCCGATGAGCCCTTTCATGTGCACTTCCCTTCTAGCTCTATGTGCATTTGTTTTACCCCCTGCTAGATTTTAAACTCCTCGAGGCCTTGTCTTGTTTGATCCTTCTCTCTCCCCAGTCTTTGCCCATATACCTGTGCTTCCCCATAAATGATGACAGTGGGTTACAGCGGTCTTGGTAGAGATATGTTGTTGTTAACTTATGCTCTTCGCAAGTCCCGCAAGAGGAGATGACTCATGATAAACATTCAGTTAGTCATCCATTAAGTAATTAGTAATCCATTAAGGCCCGCTATATGCCAGCCACTGTGCTGGGTGAAGGGGCTGCAGGTACAAAGAATGAAACAGTCTCGAATCTCTGTGAGCTTCCATCAAGTGCAATAAAATGTAAAGTGCTGTGTAAATGCTAGCTTTTATTATTACATTCTCAAGGGAGATATGGGCAGAACAAGTACATGTAAAAATATATACGGCATAAATGTGAAGTTAAATTCAAATATATGCAAGGTAGCTTGAGAGTGAAGGCCCTAGCAGTTGGGATGATCTGGAAGGCTTTATGCTGAAGATGGTTTCTGAGCTGCATCTTAAAGGAAGTGTGGGTTTCTATGAGGTGGAGGTAAGGAGGGAGAGTCTTTCAGGTTTGAGGGCTGCCTGGTGCCAAGGCTTGAAGATGAAGGCCAGTTTGACAACATTCCAGAGTGGGATGGGGAGTAGTACCCAATGAAACTGGAAAGATAAATAGCCCTCAGTATAGTGCTTTAAAAGTTAAACAGAGGGGGGTTTTTTGTATTGTTCTAGAAGCAATAGAAAGCCACTGGAATTGGTTGGGTAGAGGAGTCACCTGGTCAGATTCATACTTAAGGAAAATTACTTTGTGCATCTGCATGTAGGATGGACTGCATGTAGGGTCGGAGACCAATTAGGAGGCTATTGGCAGTTATGTAGGTGAGAAGTGATGAGAGCCTAAACAAAGATGATCGCTGTGTGAGTAGAAAGAATGGAGTACCTATGAGATATCTTGTGAAGGGAGAAACAGCAAGATTGTCAACAGGTAGGATATGTGGGGTTAGGGAGAATGATAATTCTGATATTGTGAGCCTGAGACACCAACCTGAGAGTCTTGCCTCTTGCTTTTCTTTAAAATTGAAGCCACTGGATATGACTCCTTTTCTCACATTCTCTTTCTTTTGAAATTCCTTGACATCTTCTCTTAATCACTCTTCCTTTCCCTCAGTTTGACAGATCTTTCAAGCAGGGATTGAGAAGTGAAGAAAGTTGGATTAGTTTCTGTTTGGAGTAAAATAGGGAATCAGAAGAGTGAAAAAGAACTCTTGTTGCAGTGGTGGCCCATTTGAGCTCAGATAGCAAGAAACTGTAATGTGATTAGTCAGCACAATTGTGGGACTTCTCCGCTTTTCTTTCATCAGCTTTTGATTATAAATGTTGAGGAATGCTGGGAGTAATCCAAGACTGAGGTTTGGCAGGAGAAGAATCCCAATAAGACAAGGCAGCAAAGAGACTTAAGAGCAGAATATAGAGTTAAAATGCCTAATTATTGGGTTGAGATTGGTTAGGAGGGATAGTGAAGTCAAAGCAGAAGAGGTATGTGGTAGTGAAGCATAGAAGGATTGTACTCCTTGAGGTTATTTTTTTAAAAATTAAGATATTTTATGTTTTTATGATCATTTTCCTTCAAAGTTTCAATTTTGTTAACAATGGTTCTCAAACTTTTTGCTCTCAAGATCCTTTTACTCTCTTAAAAAAATTTTTTTTTCAGCCAGAGATAAGGTTTATTAAAGATCCTCCATATTGGCCAGACTCTTAAGGAATCTGAGCATTTGTGTCACTAATTCAAGCAGGCCAGATTTTAAAGAATCTCAGCACCTTGTTGGAGACATCTCTTAGAACTCTCCAAAGAGATTTTGTTTTTATGTGTTATATCTGTATTTACCATTTTAGAAATTAAAATGTCTTAATATTATTTTGAAAATAGCTTTGGCCCCACTGACCTGCTAAAAGGGTTTTGCAGATGAACTCAGAGTTCCAGGGACTGTGCTTTAAGGACTATTTTATTTTGTCACTGTTCTTCATAAATTCATTTTCATTTTTTATTTTGGTCATTCTCTCTTTTTTATCTAATTTTCAGCATGTCTTATGTGCTTATTTTGGATCTCTTAGTTGTATTTTTTTTTAGTTTTTAAAAGTTGCATCCTTTAATCCTCTTTTTGTATTTTGTTTCTGTGTGTTTTCAGAGATAATATTTCCCCCCTGAGCACAGCTTTAGCTGCATCCCCAAAATTTTGATGTTATCATTATTGTTCTTGTGAACATAGTTCTCTAACCAACCTATTTTCCAGGATGTCATTATTAAGCCTTCATTTAGTTCTTGCTTATTTTATTATGATGTATAAAGAATATATCTAAAATTTTTACATTTACATTACATTTAATGCATTTTTACATTTATAATTTCTCTGCACCTTAATAATTTTGTAAAAGTACCATGTAATCCTGAGAAATGTACATATTCCTTAAACATAAGGCTTTCAGATCCAGCTTTTCTGACATTCTGTTTTCATATTTTCCTTTCAGTTTCTGTTTCTTTATTTATCCATTTCTGAGAGCAACATTAAAGTCTCTTGCAACTTTTGTGTTGCTGTTTTCAATTCAGTTAGCTTTTTCTTTAAGAATTTAAATGCTGTATATTTCAGATATATATATATATATATATATATATATATATATATATATACACATATATACATTGAATAATGAGATTAAATTATCTGTGGTCTTTAATATAGTTTCCTCTTCTCTCAAACTTGTGAATTTTTATTGTTACTTTAAGAGTATGATTGTAACCCCTCTTCTTTTTGGAAATATCAGACCCAGTCAATGTATTCCAGGCTCCTATCTAAATTCTGTTACTTTATATTTTTTTAGATGTTTCTTACTGCTTCTACAGTTATTGCAGAAATAATTCCAAAAGAATTGTTTTTCTTACTGCTCCTGCAATTGTTTTGTTTTATTATATTCTTTAATCTATCCACATATAAGGATAGATAAAATGGCTAGCTTTCTTTTCCTTTTTTATTTTTACTCCCTCCACTTTTAAATGAGGCAGCTAGGTAGCACAGTGGATAATGTGCTGGGCCTAGAGTCAGGAAGACCTAAGTTTAAATTTGGCCTTAGACACTTACTAGCTATGTGACCCTGAGCAAGTCACTTAATTCCTGTTTGCCTCAGTTTCCTCATCTGTAAAATGAGCTGGAGAAGGAAATGCAAGCCATTCCAGTATTTTTCCCAAGAAAACTCCAGATGGGGTCAGGAAGAGTTAGACTCCACTGAAACAAATGAACAACAAACAACAATCCCCTAACACTGTGTCATTGGGCTTAATTATGCTTACACTAATTTAATCTTAGTATATTCCCACAGGCTTCCTTCACAGACATTTCCCTTCCCTCCCCTCCCCTCCCTTCCGCAAATTTTTGAATTTACTTTTATTATTTTATCTCTATTTACTTTCCTTCTTTTTTGACCCTTCTGTGCCCCAGATGTGAATGACAGTATGACCACTACGAGTTGACTTAGGAGGAACGGTGTTGAGGAAACATCGTTGTGAGTGTTTAGTCTCTTATTGCCTTCCCTCTGTTAATTATTTCCTGTTTATCCTCTGTATGTAACTTGCTTTGTACATCTTTGTTTACATTTTCTCTCCCATTAGATTGTAAGGCAGGGACTGTCTTTTACCTTTTTTTGTATTCCCCACATTTAGCACAGTGCCTGGCACATAGTAGACAATAGTATTGATTGGTCTTAGTATAAGGCAAGAGTTGGGGTGGAAAGGGAGACTGAGCCAGGGACTGAACTCATTGAGAAAAGAGGGAGAATGTACTGAAGATTGCTGATAACAGCTGCCAGTTATCTGTAATGGGTGAAAAATAGAGTGAGCCTCTGAGAGGTTGCTAAATGAATATGACTCTTCCCCTATATTAGGAGAATAAGAGAAAATATAACTGGTTAGAGAAAGGATAACCAGGAATACTATATCAACTATAGGAAGCCAAGGCTTTCTGAGTACCCGAAGATGGAAAGACCACAAGAGGAAGAGGTATAAAAGAAAAGGGTATTTGTTAATTACTGAATAGGAGAGTGCCATTGGGGGCAGGATAGGATTGAGGTGGCTGGGGATGAGAGAAAGGGAAGTAGGAGATAGGGAGGCAGGTAGTTTATTGCATGGGCAGCAGGCTCAGTATCACTGGGATTAGGTAAGAGTCAGTGGGAGTTAGTTGACCTTGGGGAGTGACTATGAGAAGAGGAAGTCAGGTGAGGGGGAGTAATGCATAATTAACTTAAAAGGTAGGCTAGAAGGGCAGCTAGGTGGCACAGTGGATATGGCTGTGGCCTTGGAGTCAGGAGGACCTGAATTCAGTTGTGGCCTCAGACATTTGACATTTACTAGCTGTGTGACCCTGGGCAAGTCACTTACCCCCCCATTGCCTCGCCAAAAAGAAAAGAGGTAGGCTAGAGCCAAATTGTGAAGGGTTTAAATGTCAAACAGCTCTTTGTTCCCAGGGTCAATAAACTTCTATTTAACAAGGATAGCAATGTGGCAAGACCAGTGCTTGAGGAAGTTTACTTGGGCAACTCGGTGGAGGTTGAAGAGACTGATTAGAAGGAAGTTGCATTAGACCAGGTGAGAGGCAGTGAAGGTCTGATCTAGGTCAGTTGTCATTTGAATGAAGAGGGGACAGTTGCAAGAGAGGTTGAACTGACAAGTGAATAGATATGTGAGGTTAATATTATGTGAAGAGAGTATATAGGAAAAGGTAGCCATTAGTATCAGATACAACAGAAAGGGCAGGGAGGTTGTCAACTTGGTAGGAGTCATTGGACTTGATAATAAGGTCAGGGATTGCAGCTTCATTCATTTAGAATGAGGGCGGTGTACTGAGAATCACTCCTTGCTTTTTAATTGTTAAATAAAGATGAAGAGTGGAGCTATAATGTGTGAAACAAGAAAGGAATGGCATGAGATAGGTCACTTTCCTACCTCATTCTTGGTGGGGGGGAACCCACCAATTTGCAAATCACTGATCAAAATATAAATCATAAAGAGTGATAATAGCTAACATTTATATAGTGCTTTTAAGATTTGCAAAGTGCTTTAAAAAGTCTCATTTTATCCTCACTCTGAGATGGATGCCAGTTTTGCAGAGGGGTTTGAAACTGAGGAAGCTAGAAGAGCTTAAGTGACTTGCCATGGGTAATACAGGTAGTTTCTGAGGTTGGATTTGAACTCGGGTCTTCCTGATTTTAAATAAAACACCGATTCCCTGTGCCACCTGGCTACCTCTGGGTCTAAAGGGTAATAAGTCATTATCTGAACCAAGACCTCACATAGGGTACATGCTCGTGTGGGTGCCTCATTTAAAATTTTTTTGTTTTACAGGAGAGACTGCTTTGCTTTTCTGTAAGCCTAGTGGTTAGCAGTCCTTTTTGTAGATAGGAATCACTTAAATCCTTTTTCTTTCAGTCTACAGCTCTTGCTCAGACATCAGATATTATACAATTTTCTGTCAATGTTATATTAATTGCTACTGAAGTACTAGTGCTGTGGAAAGAGCTGTGGATTTAGGACATTTGGGTTAGAATCTACCCAGCTAGTACAGTGGATAGCTTTGGATTGGAACTCAGACATGCCTGAATTCGAATTCTGCCTCAGACATTTACTAGCTGTGACCCCATGGCAAGTCAATTAATCTTACGATGAAATTTGATTAAGTCTCAGTTTCCTCAGCTGCAAAATGAGGATTATAAGAGTACCTATTCCCAGCGTCTTGATGTTTATAAAGCATTTTTGCAAGCTAGTATAATATGTAGATGTCAGTTATTATCATAAATTTTTAGAGTCATTCATCCTCCTTTAATGTTTCCTCATTTGTAAAAGGAGGAAATACTTATACTACAAATCTGACAGTTTTTGTAAGAAATCAAGTGATACCTATATGTAAGCACATTTAAAGAAACAACTCCTAAAAATTCACTTTTCACATCCACAGCTGGTACAAGTTAGGCCAGAAGGGAAGGTGCAACTTGCTTTGAAAGCTAGGTGAGCTTGCATTCAATTTCAAGCAAAATGTTTTTTAAATTATTATTAAGGGGTAGTTTCCCAGCATGGGTTCATCAAATATAGAATATGCTTCATTTCCATTTTTAACAGTATACTACTATACATGAATTTCAACACAAGGCGAATTTGACAAAGTCCCAAATGATGAACTGACATTTACACCACAACTTTACATAATATCTCAGTTGAACCTCATAGCAAATCTAGGAAGGGGCATAGTTATCCTCCTTTCTCAAATAAGGAAACTGAGGCAGAAAATGGTAAGGAAGTATCTGAGGTTGATTTGAAACCAAGTCTTTCCCATTGCAATCCCAGCACTCTCCCCAGTATGCCATAAAGCCCTAGAAGCTAGCACCTCTTCAGATTTAATTAATAGAAGCATAGTATGCAGAAAAAGGGAACATGGTCCTGCCAGGCCATCTTGGTCTGTATTTCAGGCCATTTTGGTCAGCCAGGTATTCAAATATTCAGTTCCAGAGAACTGGAATATGACAATTGGCTAAAAGAACTGGAGATGTTTAGCCTAAAGCAGAAAGAACTTAGAGTGCACATGACAGCTGTTTTCAAGAATCTGAAAGGTGGCCATGTAGAAGAATTCAAGTCATAGTCTTAATTGGTGAAACAAGAAACAATAGCTCAAAGTCACAGGGACCAATTTCAGCTTGTTACAACAAAATATTTCCTGAATGTTAGAGGTTATGAGGTAGAATATGCTACCTTAGAAGATGTTGAGTTCTCCATCACTGGAAATCTTTCTCCTCAAATTGATAAGTTATGTGTATACTAATTACTTGGAGGCATTATAGTATAGGGATTGATTAGACTACATGGCTGGCTGAGATCCTTTCCAACTAAGTTTCTAAGATTTCATTATCAGTTATTTTTCCCTTTGTTGTCGTAAATACTTGGAGTATTTTAAAACAACCAAATATTTCTTGAATTACACTCCCATTTGAGAATGTTTTGCTATCTGCTGTAAGTTATAGATTAATTATCTAGCTATAGGGCTAGGTCCTAAGACATTCATTCTATGATTTTTGATTCTGAAAGGAAAAACTTCAAAGCATAATTGATTCTGGGCATATTTTTCAGTCAGACATTTAGTTATAAGGACATTTGTTTTACTTGTGTCCTAAATTAGAAATTACTGAGAAATAACCTTGTGATTTCTACATTTTAAGGCCTCAAGATGGAACATAATCAAGAAAATACGGAAAGATTAAGAATCAATGAAATCATAGCCAGAAAAGTGGAACAACTTCCAGAATCAGATCAGTAAGATAACCTTATTTGATTTGCACACGTTTTGTATGTACATGTTACAACCAGATGAATCTTCATTTTCATAGTTATGCAGTTTTGAATATAGACAATATCAACTTCCTACTTACCTTAGCAGCATACCCATCAGATACAATAAAGAATATGGTAGTTTGATTCAACCTGAAAGTTTTTAGAGGGACTACTCAAAGTTGTTGGATAGGTTAAGTTTGCCAAATGTAGTATGGTTTGCTTTTTTTTTTTTTCTGGTATAGTAAATTGCTTCACAGGTGAGCTCCATTTTTCTTCAGTCCCTTGCATAGTAGTAAAACATCACAGATATTTAGATGAATTTAATTTTAATATAATGTGGTACTGAATGAACAGTTTTGTATTTTCTGAATAATCTTTTATATCTTAAGATTCCAGTTTATGTAAAAATTTTGGAGGTAGTAATGTGCATATAACAAGCAGTATTATTTTGGGCACAGACACATAAAATTAAATTTCAACTGATTACATAAGATTAGTATCATCATGTGGAATACTGTTTAAAATTCTGCACTATCACATCCCAAATATAACTGGTATTTAAAAGAATCATAGTTGGCAGCAGAGTTGAAATCTGTCATAACTTGCATAATTATTCAATGATGAGCTACATCAATCCAAGAAATCTAGTGTTTTTGGTTACTGGTAGTTTCATATTAATGTAGTGATCAAGACAGATGTGTATCTGTTGTAAGTCATTCTTGGTTAAGTTTCTTTGACAAATGTGTACATTTGTATAGTTGTGCAGAAGTAATCTTAGCTGGCTGAATCTTCCTCTTCTAAGCAACATAGATGGTCATCGAGGACTTGAAGAGGGAGTAGGTCAATCACGTAGGAAGAATGAAGGATAACATGGATGACTTGGGTATTACACAAAACATTAGGGTGAATTCAGTATGTGGGCAGATAGATTAAATGGATGATTTATAAAAGGACATGGACAAGAATTACCTAAGGTTAGACAGGTTACACTTTTTACCCAATGACAGGAATGCAAAAACCCAATAAAACCACATCTTTTAATCCTTAAGTAAATGTAAGTATCATAAAAAGGTTTACCATTAACTTTTAATGTCACCTAAGCCCAATTCTTTTCTATTTCCTTTATGCCTAGTAATCTATTGAGATAGATAAGGCAAGAAAAGGCAACATAGATGAAAGATACAGAAAGCATTAATGGGAAAAGAACATATTCAACTTTTTAACAAAGACTTCATGGAGGACATCTTGGACCATCATCTTCCACAAAAACATCAACCATTTGGTGAAACCAGCAGAGACGCACAATGGGTGGGAAAGGTCCACTCTAGACTCTGTTGTACCATCTGTAACCCTGAAATATAGTAAAACCCCAAATACTTATTGCTAGGTCTTATAGCATATGACTTCAAGAAGGCAAAGAAAGGGTCAGCACTTGAATTCTTAACTCACATTTGGCTGAATGGCAAATGTTAACATCAGTGCTGTAGGAATTAACTATTTGTAATCAGAACCTGCATTCCAGAGCTATCATTGAAATTAAAGCTAAAAGAGTCAGTTCCCTAAACCAAATGATAGGCATCCTGATATGACAGCACTAGGCAAAGAAGCAGATTTTGCTGTTAATTAGTTCTGTTATCTTGGACAAGTTGAGTTAATCATTTCTCCAGTGGGAAGGGGGAGGAGGGGAAAGGGTTGAGGAAACAGTGAGAGGGAGGAAAATGTTTTGACTAAAATATTTTTAAATTTCCCAATGCCTATATTGATAATTCTGTTTGACAGAAAAATTATGCTTTATATAAACATTTCATTTCTTTAGGTTTTTAAAATAACCCCCAGAAAAGAAGCCAACCCTAGTTTCTAACTAGACCAACTGTCTAATAAGACAGTTCTTACTTGTGAAATAACTCATCCAAGTAAAATCTGTTTTCCATTTAAGAGTATCACGTATGACATTTGGGCTCCCAAGTCTAATCGTCTTCTTTAATTGTTGTTCAGTCATTTCAGTCATGTCCGATTCTTCATGACCCCATTTGGTGTATTCTTGGCAAAGATAATGGAGTAGTTTGCCATTTCCTTTTCCAGCTCATTTTACAGATCAGGAAACTGAGGCAAACAGGGTAAAGTCAATTATCCACAACTAGTTAAGTGTCTGAGGCCAGATTTGAACTCAGGAAGACTCATCTTTCTGACTCCAGGCCCAGCACTCTATCCACTGCATTACCTAGCAGCCCTATCTTCTTTAATACAAAAGCCATATTTGCCTGCCTGTCCACTCTCTAGTTCCTAGCCCTGTTATATTCTCAAATCTAGCTTCATTAGAGAATTACAAACCTGGCTTAAAGACCAAGAAATGGAGGGAAAGTACAAATAGCAATTGCACTGACTGATTTTTTAGACATCCTCCAAAAGGTTTAAGTTCTACAAAACATACAAGCTCTTGATAACAATAGTGTGTGAAAAAAAGTTCCAACAATTATTTCTCTTATTTCTTAGGAATTTACTTATGGCTGGACCAGCTTATGTTGGACTAAACGCAGCTTTTTGTGGCCTAATAGCAAACAGTTTTTTCCGGCGCATCTTAAATGTGACACGTGCTCGCATAGCATCAGCTTTACCAATGGCTGTTCTCCCATTTTTGTCAGCCTACCTAACTTACGATAGTGCTGTAAGTTTACCTTTGAGTTCAGGTAAATTACAATTTTAACATTTTTAAGAATTTTGTTTTAATTTTTTTATTTGCCATAATTTTGTATAATATAGATTGTAAGTTAGGCTCCGTAGACTTCATTGAAATTCTTCTCTGATTCTTTGAACCTAGAGGACAACTTCATTGCAAGTTAAAAGTTAATGCTTTATAGTAAAAAAGTTAATGCTTTATAGTAAAAAGTTACAGTCATAATTTAACATTCCCTCTTGTATTTGGGGTGTCAGATGAGTTTACTAGTTGATTTAGAGTATATGCCTGGCCAAGTCTCTTCTTATGCTTTAAAAAAAAAAGTAAGGGAAAGGAAATCAGGGACACTTGAAGTATGTTGAGTATACAGAAGACAGTTACAATGAAATAAGACCAATTTGCTCTCATGAGTTCAGTGTTCTTGAATGCAAGCGCTTTCATAGTAGCTGCCTATCCCTATCTATATCTCTGTCCCAACTCTTGAGTTTGCTAGATAAAATACTGCACTTCCAAAAACATAGTATTTGCTTTAAGACCACTAGTAAATTAAAATATAGGAAGTAATTATAGACAACTAGTAAAAGTGAAGAAAGCCATGATTTTGCATCACAGGGATGGGAATTTAAATTGCAACTCTGTTTCATTTGGGATTGGCTATTTCCTCTTCAACCTCTTGGATTCAACTAGATCTTCATTTTATGATACTAGAAACCCTAAAGTCATTAAGATTGATGATTTGAATGAGTTGAAATTAGTCATCCCCCCCAAAGTGGTGACTGGTTAATAGAATCAGAGGATCAGAATCTTGAAGTAGTATTCAAATATCGGCAGCAGCCAGTGAGGGGAAAGATGCTATTTGCCATCCCTTCTGCTTCTGACTGAAAACTTGATAACAAGCATTAAGGAAGTCAGTTAACATTAATTTTTGTTACCTGATGAAAATTTCCAGAAATTCCAGTTGCGTAATTAAATATTATAGCCAATGTGGCTCAAACCAGCTACTGAAATTGCAAATGTGAAATACAGTTGATAGTGAAGTAACATCAAGCACAATACCTTGTACATTGAAGCTGACTGATGTCTTGAACTCCTCATTCCAGAAAACAACTAGTTTTATTTTCTAGGTGATCTAAGCTGTGAAGCCTGTACTGTTATAAGAGGTGGAATGGTTGGTCTCATAATCGGGGGTCTCTACCCTGTTGTTTTGGCTATACCACTAAATGGTGCTCTGGCAGCCAGGTATGTTTGCTGTATTCTTTCACTATTTTTCAATTGGTAATTCCCCTATCAAACCAGATAAAAAATTTAGTCCTAATTCAAAATTAACATTCATTTAAGAAAGGTAATATAGTAAATGAGCATCAAATTCAGACTAAGGAGGACCTGGCTTTGCTACTTTTTTCTTAGAAGGCTTCAATATCCTGTCAATCTGTAAAAAACTGTACATTTTGACCGGACTGTTCTAGAGATCATAATTGTTTTTTCAAACCAAGCTTCCTTTAACTGTTCGTAGCGAACTATTCAAAGTGAAGTGTACTTATGTTAACACCTATTAAACCCAAGTCCTATTTTTATGCGTCAGTAATTTAAAATACTTTCACCAATTTGTGGACTGTAGTCTTCTAAGTTCTATGGCCCACACCTCTCCAATCTGTCACTAAAGTCAAGCTCACACAGGACTTGGGAGTTTTTGCACGGAAGGGCATAGCTTCCAACAAAGACCCAAAGGTCACCTGCAGGGACCCAACTGAGACATCAGAATGAGACTTTAGTTATATCCCAAAAACACTAATATATTTGCCAGAATTTTGTAAATGTATTCAACAACATTGTTTTCTTTTTAGGTACAACTCGGCTCCACTACCACAGAAAGGAAATATTTGGACCTACTGGATCACAGTCTCTCGACCTGTCTTTAGAAAGATGGTCTTTCCCATAATGCTGCAGACTATGTTTGCAGCATACCTTGGTTCTAAACAGTATGAAGTACTCATAAAAGCATTTGAATTACCTGAACCTGGCGTCCAGTTCCAGGATATTCAAAATAAATCAAGCGCACAGCTAAAAGGTTAAAATTACGTAAAAATAAGATACTTAATACCCAACAAATATACAAATAAAATTGTACTTATTCCAATTTTACTGTGACTTTACATCTATTACCTGAAGCTAACACATCAAAAATAATGCCTAAAGTCAGGAATTGCTGAACAAATTATCTACAAGTTGGCTCAGTTATTAAAGCCTGTGGTCCTTTTCAAAAATAACTGATACAGGTAACATTAAGTTTAGGGAGGAAAGCTACCAAATTATTAGAGGTGAAGAACTATCCTTTTTAAAAAAAAAAAAAAGCAAAAAGTTTAAACAGTGTTCTCATTAATTTTTCAAACTGGAAAAGTAGACTATAAAAAAACACTACATAGCCACTCTTACCATTTACAAAATCCATCTCCTTTTACCTACTCAAATTGTTTCTATAACTTTTAACAGTTTTTCCTCAAGGATGGAAGAGGTCTGGGAGGTCCAACTGCTTTAATATCCCTACCAAAGCAAAAAACAAATACCTTTGATACCCTGAAAAGAATGCTTTAATCATGGGGAGCTCACTGAAAGGCAGCCCATTACAATTTTTTGGAGAGCTCTAATAAAGTTAATTTAGACAAAGCCAAAATATGCTCCCTACACATTTCTCTGTCCTTTCTAGAATACAAGAGAACAAATCTATTCTACCTTTCAAATAACATTTCCCCAAACCTCCAATTTTCATAGCACTACATCCTATTCACTCTGCTTAATAAAGCTGCATGACACATAAAAGGATTACATTCACGATGCTAAGGACAACTCATCTATTCCCTACCCTGCTACTGAAGGTCAGAGTTACTAAATTTTCTAGCCCTTCGGAGTACATTACTGTTGCAAAACAGAGATAACTGTAAGTAATTTCAGAGGGTTGTTAAAAGGCTCAAATAAAACACTTCAGAAGTTTTCTTCAGTACTAATGCTGATAAAACAGAACATTAAAGTAAATTTTTAAGGAAGTTAGCAGCAAGGGGATGCTGCTGTGCCTGCTTAGTCACTGCAGAAGGCAGGATTTTCAAAAAAAATCTTAAAAACCAGTCAAATAAAAAGAGAGAAAGAAACTAAACTCTAGTAAAGGGATAAATTTCTGAAAGTCAAGAAGGCAAAATAAATTTCTTTTTTAAAAAGGGAAAGTTTTGTTTTTTTAAAGATTACTGAAAACCAATTGGTTTTTAGTTTTATTATTTTTTTTAAACAAACATTCCCGTGACAAATCAGGTATCCATGAATCTTATCTTTAAAGCCTTTTTTTTTGCCAGCACGTTTTCTCAAAACAGACACAATAAATACTATTTAAAGTCTAAAACCATGATTGACAAACTGTATGAAACTGGAAGAAGTACTTGTTAAATCATTTAAAACTATCTTGAAAACTATTCAAATTCTTTAAAAACCATTACTACATACTGCTTTCTTATGTCTTACACATATTTGTATCTCCCCATCATGATGCCAACAGTGTCTTGCATGTAATTGGTGCTCAATGTTTCCATCAATTTAAATTACATAAAAGTTTGTTCTCTTCTGTTTCACATAAAGTAAATGTTGGTTCAAAACTTTAATATTTTGAATTGTATTCAATTTTTTTAATTTACACATTAAATATTTACAATTTCCCATATTTTCTTAAATGGTCATCTATTTTCTAGTATTTATTCTCAGATGTTTCTTACAGCATATTACTTTACAATTAGTGGTATGAAAATTATCACTGCTGCCTCAATAAAAAAGATCAAATTGTATTATACTCTATTTACCATAATATGCTAACTTCATAACCTAAGTGTTACTCAATTCTGAAAGCCAGGGAAAGATGCAATATTTAGAAGTGTCATAGCCTGGTAGAAACTGGCTTTTCGCTTTGAGGCTACCAATAATTTCCACACTTCAATTAGATAAAACATTAATAAGAGCACAGACATGATTTAACTGAAATTTCTAACTTATTACTCTTCAAAACACACTCAGTGGCTAGAGTATGTATTCAATTGGTTTCACTGCAGTTTATCAAGAGACTCAACAAAAATCTAAGTTAAAAATGAAGCACAAAATGTTTGTTGTTGTTTTTGGTGAGGCAATTAGGGACAAAATGTTTTTTGTCAGTTACATATACTTAGTTCTCTATCTGCTCAAACTTAATAATGAATGATTTAAAAATGCTTCCCAGTGGGGAAAGAAAGTATAGTGTTAAAAATTCCAACTCAGAAATATCCAACAGGTGGCAGCAATTTAAGAGATTACCACAAAGGGGGGAAAAAGATGTATTAACAGCAACACCCAATTTATCCAAAATATAACTTTTTCACAGTATTGTCAATAATTGATGCTCATAATGATGGCTCTCCTTATGAAGTACTGAAAGATCCTTAAATATCTTCTGAATTCATTCTGCTTATTTTCAAGTATATATCAGTATACTTTAAGGCATGAAAAGAAAAACAAAGGACCTGAAATATGACAAATTTTCAAGATTCCTCAAACTTCAGATTCACAGTGGGCCTGGGAAGAAATGCTTTTTAAAAAATTCTTATTACCGATTCATGGTTCAGTCAGTCCCTAAGATCTCTAAGGTTCTGTAGCTCTAAAATTCTGTAATACATATCAAGAAAGTGTTAAGTTAGCAGGGACCTCTCTATTCCACAGTGAACTTCACAACTCCTAATTATCAGTGTTTTGCATAAAAGAAGTCAGTAACTCCATGAATAACGGCTGAGAGATGGGTCTGCTTTATCAACAGCATACCTGGATAGAGCCAGAAATGCTTGATGGAGCAGGAACCTATCCCCCTAAATCCAACCACATTTATGCTGTTAACTCACAGAGATATCCAGTAAGATAGAATATGACTGGTTTGGAATTAGAACATATACTTATTAACATTAGTCTTAAAGATGGTGGGGAAGTGGGGGGGAGATAACTGTCTAACAAGTAATACCCATTGAAATCAAGAGTCCTATGAGGCTCTATCACGTCATTAAGCTGGGAAAATGTATATGGCATAAAACCATTTGCTACAAAGAAGTCACTTCTAAAATCCATAATGCTCAAGCCATTACATAACAACAGACCATTTTGACATGAAAGTATGAATAAAAACTAATACAAGTTATTAGAAACTTCGAATTATTCCCAACATTGTCAAATTAATCATAATAGGAAAAAAAATCCATTATTTCTTGCCTATGCAACTTCTCGGTTATATAAGATAGTCCCACACATTTTAGCAATCAAAATTCCTCCATGAATATGAAAACAAAACAATTTAACATCTACAAAATGACTGCCGTTTAAATTCTGAACTTTGCATTAATTATTTTACTAAGTTCAGCAAAGTTAATGCATCAGCTTCACAAAGACTGCCATGTTACATACAGTTAAGTGAGCACAAATTATGTACACCTTACAACAACTGATGGTCTTTTAATTTAATTGTTTTACGAAATGTAATTCACTAGTCTATGTTCCTTGCTAAAGAAACTGAAAAATACTAGATAAAATATATAATTCTCTTGTCCAAGGGGCAGTTCCAATTTTAAAGGGTACTGCAAAGAACTGAATTATGACTCCTCTGAAAGACAAGAATATTTTATCCAAAAATTAACCCATTAGTCTCATGTGTTTCTATTAAGTCTTTCAAGGATTCCAGAGAATCTTTTCAAATCTCCACTTCAGGAAAGTGAAATCAGTATAGAAGTAATTTGGGGGCTTGAAATGGCATTCATTTTTTCAGCAGATGCCAATATTTGTGACCGATATGGCTCCCACAACTACTTTGTTACCACCAGTCCAGTCAGTTACAGGTTGTAGGAAAAGATTCGTTTTTGCAGACACTGCTAAGCTGTTTAAAGAGAAGAAAGAGAGATTAATTCAATGATTATAGAATGCACATTTAATTCAAAATATCTTAACAAGCTGGTTTGATCACACATGAGATTTCATCTGACTAGGTTTTAACAAAGATTTTTTTAAAATTTGGTGATGGAGTTGTACATGTAATGTCTTCTTATAAGAATTCATTTAATATTTGCATGCTTGTCTCACTAAGAAAAATTTTGAAAGCTGAGCCCTAATTAGACTTTTTTTACTTTCTTACAACAGATAAATATTCATTTATACTAAGGTACTGCATCACTTTACTATGCAAAATGTAGGAAACTGCAAATCCTAACCATCAAGAAAAAGTTCCTTTATCCCAAAATGTTAGATTACTTCACAAGAAAATCAGACTGTAACTATTTCCCAAATCAGTATTATTGTACTCCAAAATGCCTTTTTGGATCCAAACACTACTCCTTCAGAGCACAACCTTATAGAAAAAGTAAGACAACAGCTTTATATTAATAATCATAACTGTTTTAATTAACAACAAGAAGAAGGGACATGTGTTAGGGTATTCTACTCACTACACATTGAAAGTAATCAGTTTGTTCTTAGTTTAAGAAGCCCAAACATTTATAGTAAAATGTGTTTACATATAAATATGACCATATTTACTAACACCTTTGCTGGTTCTAAAAAACAAGTGATTATTACCATGTGAAAACAAGAACATGAAGTTGATGTAATAAATGACACAAAAACATTTAGTCATCAAAATCAGGAAAAAGGAATGAAATGGAAACTAGTAAGGGACAGTTAATAGAACACAAGGAACCTAAACTAAGCAGCTTTTAAAAGTATCTTCAACTTTTTCCACATTTAAAATCTTTTGTAAAACTATTTCCAAATACTGTCATTTGTAAAATGACATTTTTGCAAAGCAAAAATTTCAATGGTGTGGTGATTCTAAACAAACAGCATCCCAATTCTGAAAGCTTTAATCAATGTTTCCCCTGCATTGTCCAGCCCCAAACCTCAATTAATTCAAGAATTATAATATGATGTCAACAAGAAGACATAGTGTTGTTATAAGAAACACCACACTTACTGTTTCCAGAACCCTTAACTGCTTAAGACCCAGAGCCAACTCTAACAAACATTTTCCTGATTTCCATTCCTGTTTCTTTCCAATATTAAGGTAAGGATAGAGATGAACAAATTCTTTGAGCCCATTACTGAAAGATCAACAAACCTGGTTTTATTATGACACCATATTCTTATTGTCATAGGTACTGCACAAAATTATATACAAAGAAATATATACAAAATATTCAAGTATTGTTAGTTAAAATTCCAATTCAAGGCTTCTGTTTCAAAGCTACATTTAACATATTCCATAAAGATATCACAAGTTAGTCACTGTTTCAAATAATTTTCCAACTAATTTTGGTTTATATATGTATGATTCAGTAGGCACTAAAAATCCATGCAGTTGCATTTTGGGGACTTAATCCTGCTCTTAGGTATAAGCAGAGTCATCATTTCGTGTTGTAAGTGTAGCTATTGCCCATTCATGCTCAAGTGCAGTAGATGATTTTACAAAATATGTTGTGATGCATAATTGCAAACCAGAGACCAATATTAAGTCTCAAATACCTTATCTCCAGCAATGAAACATTTACAGTTGTGCAAAAAAGGATTCCATTTACAAAACAAAAACATGTTAAATGAAAGTTAACTACATCTTTGGACTGCTGGAATTAACTTTTTAATTATGCACAATTTTAAAATAAAAAGACAGCAGAAGCCCTGATATTACCTCTTTTTCCTCATTTCTTATACTACCTTTTAAAATAAAGCAGGAAATGTGGCCAGCAGCTGGTCCCGTCTCTTCTGCCCCAACAGCTGTATCCACTTTAGCATAAAGAAAAACAAGGATGCTAAATACACGTATACTTTATCAAACAGTGATGTTTCACAAAGAATTTCTATCGGTCTCCGATTACGCTAATAGATATGATTAGTGTATTCAAAGGACACAAGAGAGCAGCCCAGCTATGGGAAAAGCTTCTCTACTAAGTGTCAAATGTTTTTTTAACCTCACTGGTTAGTTAACACCAAAATTTTTCAACTACTAAAAAAGAGACAAATATCTTCGTTTTTATATTTGGGGTTCTAAAATTCATCCTTTGTGAAACCTCACTTTACATTTTTTTTCATTCATTTAACCATCTTTAAAATCTCTAATGGTACAGACACAAATTTAACTTAGAAATTTTAATACAACAAAATAAAGATATTCAACAACTCATTCATACTCAGTGACTGAATCACTGTGCTGGTCCTCAAGGAAACAGTTTTATTTAAACATTATTACTCTTCTCAATGGCTGTTTAACTAAATAAAGGAGTCTGGTATGCATATCCAATTCTCTAAAACTGATATTTAGTTCTGTAATCTAATGAGCCTGTATAAGTTTATATATCTTATATAGGAAACTAAGAGGCATTCCTGAATATTCAAGAGATTTTACCATCTCTAATTAGAACTACAGAATATTTGTTCATGCCCCAAATACTCAAAGCTGTTTGAAAAATACAACAGGATTTAATCATATAGCCAACCCCTGCAAAATTGCACTCCAACTGGAATTCCAATTTGCACCTTGTACAACTGGAACTTCCATTCAACTTCACCTTTTTCACTGTGTCCAAACTGTATGGCTATAAGCAGGTTTCACTGCACAGTTGGAACGATGTCATCGAAGGCCATGTCCACACTGGGGACAGAACAGCTAAGTACAAGTAAGTTTGAACAAGGGCACACACATCAACAGCTGTTTCAATCAGAGGAAGCATCTTAAACACACTAGTGGCCAGCACGAGTCTGTTTCCAGGGTGGACAGGGCCCAAATTAGTTTTTTTGTTTGTTTTTCATTTTGTTTTGTTTTAAATCCCCCAATACAAACAATTGTGTATGTTTGCCCATTAAAGTAGACTAACCAGCAGTGCATGAGCTTTTAGGGGAAGAGATGGATCCTTACCAGGTTGTGAGGCGGGTACGACTGTTCTGTAACCCCTACAACGGAGCCTGGCAGGGAGGAAATCACCTAAAAAAGAAACTGTCAGAGAAATTTAATAGTCACATGTTATCATTAAGAGTCGGTTACTGTGTCACATTCATGCTTTTAGCTAAACACTTAATGATTCATTATTACTTTTCTTCTCTGAAATGTGTCCAGTGAAGATGTCCCACTAACGTGTTTTTACATGGTGTAAGGGAGCTGAAAGGGGTAAACACGGATAAAGAGCAGGTTACTTGACCCTACATTTTAAGAGAAGACGAGGCCTTCCTGGCACACGCCGAGCAGAACTCCACCGACACCTTATCCTTGTCCACGTGGAGACATACTCCTCCCGCAGGGTCCTCGTCCTCCCCGGCGTCCTGCTGCCGCTCGCCCAGGGGTAGGGCATAGTCGTGGTCCCCAGCGGGCGAGTCCCTGAAGAGGGAGGTGGTGAGTCGCAGTCCCCCGCCGCTCAGCCGGCTCAGCAGCCGCGCCAGGCCGGTCTCGTTGGCCAGCACGGCCCGCAGGTAGCGGCTCTCCTCCTGCAGTGCCTGCACGCGCTTGCCCAGCTCCCGGTTCTCGGCCCGCAGCTCCTGGTTCTCGGCGGCCAGGCCCCGGACGCGGCTCTCGAGCCCCATCACGTACTCCTTCTTCTTCAGCCGGTTGAGCCGCGCCGCGGCGGCGGCCGCTTTGCGGGGGCTCTTGGCCGGCGCCGGGCCGTGGCCGCCGCCGCCGCTGCCGCCGTCGCCGCCTCCCGCTCCGGGGTTCTTCCTCCGCCTCCGCTCGCCGGCCCCCCCGGGGCCGCCGCCGCCGCCGCTACAAGCCCCGGCGCTGCTGCTGCCGCCGCCGCCGCCGCCGCCACTGCTGCCCCCGCCGGAGCCGGAGCCCGAGCCGCTGCCTCCGCCGCCGCCGCCGCCGCCGTTCACCAATCTCTGCAGCAGGTCCGAGAAGCGCTGCATCTCGGCGGCCGCGGCCGCCATCTCGTCGTCGTCGTCCCCTCTCCACAGGCAACCGCTGTCCGAGCCGCCCCCCGACGACAGCGGCCCCGGCGAGCTGAGGCCCGGCTCCAAGTCCCAGTCGGGCTGCCGGGGGTCCAGCAGGTCGGCCAGCTCGAGGCCCGACAGAAAGTCCATGTCCTCCGGCTCCTCGGAGCGGGCGGCGGCTGCAAGCGGCTCCTCCTCCTCCTCCATGTTCTCCTCAGCAGGCGCGGCCTCCGGGGCGCCCTCCTGCCGCCGCGGAGGCCCGTCCCCTTCTTCCTCCTCCTCCTCGCCGCCGCCGCCGCCGCCGCCGCCCTCCTCCCCGGCCACTGCCCGGGCCAGGCCCGGGGGGCGCAGACAGCCCGAGGCCGGGGAGGGCACCGGCGCCGGGCTCCCGCTCCGGGCAGGGGAGACGCTGCCCGAGGCCGCCAGCAGCTTCGTCAAGCTGTGCCTCATCGAGTCCCAGGGGGCCGAGGCGGGGACTGGGCCGTCCCCGAACCCGCGGTGCAGGCCCCGCAGGTCTCGCGGGCCCCCGGCCCCAGGGTGCGGGCCGCGGGAGCCGCAGCGCGGAGACTCTACGCAAGGGAGAAAGACGGGGGGGGTGGGGAGCCGAGAGAGGTGGGCACCGCGGCAGCCGGGGGGGAGAGGATGACTGGACCGGACCGCCCGGGAGACGACTGACTGGAGCGAGCCGGAAGTCAGGAACTCTTTCTCGTCCGCTCCCCCTCCCTCCTGCTGGACATCGCGAGACTTCAGGGAGCGGCAAGGAGGGGGAGAAAGCAGACTGGAGAACTCTCGCAGTGACCCAGCGGTCCTTTGTGTGGAGGGTTCTTTAAGAAAGCGTCCTCTGTCTGACAGCTTTGTTTTGTTTCCAGACCACGCGCTCCTTTGTGTACCGCAGTCTTTTAGAGGAAATAGGAGTCCCCCCCTCCTCACAGAGAGCTTTGTTTTGTTTCTCAAACCGACGGATTATAAGTGATACTTGATTAATGAAAGCTTCGCCCTTTATCCATCCTTTAGAATCACTCTCTGGGAGACATCTCCTCCCCTCCAGGGGGTTCAAGAGTCAGCTGGGCACCGAATCAACAAAAACAAACATTTATTAAATTCCCACCAAGTGCCAAACGCCGGAGACACAAAGACACAATAAAAACAGTGCCTGCGTTCAAAGATCATTCAGAGTCTACTGAGTGTTGGGGTGGTGGGAGAAAATTACTAAGGGTAATCAAGTAACTGTATACAAAGTTGCACGAACCGAGGGACATCGTGCTAAGAAATAGGGAGATCAGAAAAGAGATCTTTTTTTAAAATTTATTTTCATTTATCAACAATCACTTCCATATGCTTTTGAGTTTAAAATTTTTCTCCCCCTTCCTCCCCACCACCCTCCCCAAGACGGCACACAATCTGATATAGGCTATACATATACATTCCTATTAAACGTATTTTCACATTAGTGATGTTGTGAGTAAGAATTAGAACCAATAGGAGGAACCACCAGAAAGAGGAAGCAAAACTCAACAGACGAGGGGGAAAAAAAGCAAATAGTTTGCTTCAATCTGCATTCAAATTCCATAGTTCTTTCTTTGGATGTAGATAGCATTTTCTATCATGAGACCTTTGGAGATGTCTTACATCCTTGTATTGCTGGGAAGGGTTAAGTTTATCAATATTAGTCATTGCACAACGTGGCTGTTATTGTTTACAACGTTCTCTTGGTTCTGCTCACTTCACTCAGCATCAGACCATACAAGTCTGGACAAAGATTATCTTGAGGTGGCTGGGGAACACAGTGGATAGAACACTGGAGCCAGTCAGGAAGACCAGAGTTCAAAATTTACCTACTAGTTGTGTAATTTCGGCCAGATCATTTAATTTCTTCTTGCCTCAGTTTCCCCATATGATAAATAGGGATAATAATAGTACCTGCCTCTCCCAGGGTTGTTGTGAGGATAAAATGAGATACCAGAGTGCTACATAAATGATAAAATTTTAATATAAATGATAACTATCGTCATTCCTAAGAGGTGGCACCTCTTACCCTTTCTAGTCATATTCTATTTGACACACTCTCCAACTATATGGGTTTACTAGCGGCTCCCTGTGGGGACCTTCTATCACACATCTCAGTGCTTCTGTAAAAGCTGATTCCCATGCCTGTGGGGTATGGATTCTAGGAGTAAGAGAAGAGGGGATGCTTTCCAGACCTAGAAAACAGTTTGGGCAGAAATTCTGAGATGAACAATGGAATGTTGTTCACATGAAACAGCTAGCAAACCCATGTGATTGGAAAGAAAAGTGTGTCATGGAGAATAATAAGACTTAGACAAATAGGTGGAGGTGGGCTCTTTGTTCCAGCCAAACTGCCCCATTGTCTGTTCCCCAACTTCATATTCCACGTTCAGCCTATGTGCTATGCCTGAAACACACTACCTCCATCATCTTTTAAAATCCTTAGCTTCCTTCAGGTTTCAGCTCAGGTGCCACCTTCAATAGGACATTTTTTCTGATTCTCCTAGTCCTTTCTTAGGACTCTCTCCATTCTCAAAATATGTTGTATTTACCTGTTTATAGCTTGTATCCCTAAGTAGAATGTAAGCTCCTTAAGGATAGAGACTTTTTTTATCTTTGTATCCACTAATATATAGCTGCAAATTATGCAACACTGGTCTCTTCAGAAATTGCGAATGGGTATTACAGAGAGAACAGTATGGAGAGGTTTGTGATGAGTGTAAGCAGAATGGAACTTATAACAAAGAATTTCCTAGAATTGGAATAAAGAATGTCACTGGGGAAATTCATGAGTGAAAAAAATGAACTAGTCATGTAGCAAGTACAAGGAATAAGGAAGACATCCCAAGTAGTCAACTAATGTCCTTGCAACAGGAGGAAAAATTAAGGAAGACCCATAGCATATTGGACCCCCATAATAAACTTATTGGAATGCATGCATAAGAGTTGAACAGAATAAGCAGGCAGGAATGAGTGGCAATCTGCTTCTTTGGAGGATACACCAAAATTAATGAGATCTCAGTTCCATTTGAATATTGAGTATCCCTAGTCCCTAGCACAGTCCAGTAGGTATTTGGTGATATAAACCTGGAGTTCAAGAGAAATTAGAGGTGGATATGTAGATCTGAGAGTCATTTGGATAGAAATGAGAATTAAAAGCATAGGAGCTAATGAGCTCATGGGGCAAAAGTATACATAGAAAAGGACAGAATCTTGAGTTATACATTTAAGAAGCAGGAAATAGTTCATGATCCAGCAAAGGAAACTGAGAGAAGTCAGACAAATAGAAGAACCAAGAGAATGAAATATCATGAAAGCAGAGGAAGGAAAGAGTATCAAGTTGGAAGAGATCATTCAGTTAGTCAATAAGAATGTATTAAGTACCTGCTGTGTGCCAGGTACTGTGCTAAGCTTAGTATCTTAGATTCCTAGCTGAGTGAGATTTTAGAAGTCATTGAGTCTCATCCAGCTACAGAGTTCAAGAAGTGTGAAGTCTGAGAAGAGGCCAGTCATATTGCCAGGGGCTGAAAAGTAAATTGGAGATGAGGAAGTAGACATGATACAGATGGCTTTGTCTGAGAGTTTGACCGTGAAATGAAGAAGACGTAAAATAATGGCTTGACAGGATGGCAGGATCAAGTAAAGTATTTGTTTTTAAGGATGGAGATCTGGGCTTCTTTGTAGGCATCAGGGAAGAAACCAATAGATAAAAATTGAAGATTGGTTGTGGGGAGAGGACTAAGGGGTAGGGATGATCAGTGTGGCAAAATCCTAGAAGAAAGGGGAGAGGATGACATCAAGAATGCAAGTAAAGAACTGGCCTAGACAAGAAGATCTACTTCTTTATTAGGAACTGAAGAAAAGGAAGTTGATATTTCAAGGGATTTGGGAGAGGAAAAATGAGAAAGCTTATAATAAACAGCCTCAGTAAATTAGGAGGCAAGATCTGCTGAGAAGGAGAAGGGAAAGAATGATGTAAGTGGCTTAAAGTTTGGAACAGCTGCTGTGAGGGAGTAAGACATCGAGTTAATCAAGGAAGAATAAAAGATCTGCCATGCAGCAGTGAGGCACCAGTTGAAATAAACAAAAACTTGCATTGGACTAAGCTAGGTGATTGTGTGACTTCCTTAGCAATGGACAGCAGCAACAGAGATGACAAACATTGGGGTGGGGTGGGGGGAGTGTAACGAGTTGGCTTTTGGCAAAGCATGAGCAAAAGTAAGATAAGAAAGCTAGGTAATCAAAAAGAGGGGACAATACAAAGTTGAAATATCAAGATTGTCCAGGGTAGAAAGGGAGCAAGAAAAGATGAAGCAATTGGCAGCTTCCATAGAATTTTCCTAGAGCTCTTTGGATAGATTATTTGTCCTATCACCTTCTCCCTGGTATAATACATATTCATCTATGTCCCATCCTTGAGGGCAGTTACTGTCTTTGTTCATCTTTATTTCTTTGGCTCCTAACATAATGCTTTGCACAAAGTTGATGTTTAATAAATGCTTATTGAAAAAAATTGGAGTTAGGAATATATTCCAAGCATCCTAAAGCCTGATTTAATAACTCAGCATGGAATCTGTCACCTATCACACATAATACATAGTCTTTGCTTTTAGGGATCTTATAATCTACTTGGGGACATACTTGACAAATGATTGCGGACTAGACATGAAAAGCTAAAAAATAACATTATGTGAGATGCTTTTATCTAAAATATACAGGTATAGTATGGCATAGTATTCATGATAATACTTTATTATGTAGCACTTTTGTTGTTTGCAGTTAGAGCAGTTTCACAGCTTACGGTGATAGTTATTTTACAAAGTGACTTTACAACATTCTTTCACAGTCTTCACAAACCTCTAATATAGAGATGTTGTTCAGTCATTTCAGTCATGTCTAATTTTTCATGACCCTGTTTGGGATTTTCTTGGCAGAGATACTGGAATGGTCTGCCTTTTTCTTCTCAAGCTCATTTTATAGATGAGGAAACTGAGGCAAGCAGGATTAAGTGACTTTCCCAGGGTCACACAGCTAGTTAAGTATCTGAGGCCAGATTCCAATTCAGGAAGATGAGGCTCAAAGAAAGGAAGGGACTTCCCTGAGCTTAGTAGATGTTAATTAACAGAGTCAGGAATCCCAACCCAGGTCATACAGCTCCAAGTTCAGGACTTTTTTCACTATACCACAAATTAATGAAAACATTAAGTACTTCTGAGTCCAAAAGGGAAATTAATTGTTTTGGGTAAATATATTTACAATAGGTGTTCAGTTCAGGAAGCTTCATGAAGAAGAGGAAAGGAAGGGAATAAGCATTTATTAATTGCCTACTATGTGACAAGTACTGTGCTAAGAATTTTTTTTTTTTTACACATTATATCTCACTTGATCCTCACAACAACTCTGAGAGGTAGTGCTATTATTTCCCTTCCTCCCCCAATGCCCCTTTTATGGAAAATAAAACTGAGGCAGACAGAGGTTAAGCCCAGGGTCATACAGCTAATAAGCGTTTGAAACCAGATTTGACCTCTGATCTTCCAGAC